ATAAACCTCCAAATGCTTCAACAGACTCTAAAAGGATGCAGATTACCAGCTGCCTGCAAGGAATCCTTCCATTCCCCACTATCCTATCAGAGCTGAAGAAGTTTCTTGGATGAGAAGCAAAAATCTTCAAAGAAAAAACAAGAAAGTCTAGTTGCCTCCAGAAAAAGAAACTTTGGGACTACTAGGAAGTTGTTATCATTTGTCACACTCGTTTGCCATTAGTTCCTAGATGCTCCCAACAGGATCATTCTTGGGGTAAACTGGTGATCAGCAGGCTCTGACTTTGATTATTCCCTGACTCCATAGGAGTAATAGGTGTTCTCCAGCTGAATCTTCTAGTCAATCCCAGCTGGAGTCTGGTAATTCTCCAGGTGGAACCTCTCTGGGACTCTGGACCAAGCTAATCAGATGTTTCTATCATCAAATCCATTATTCAACAGCACAATAATAAATTTGGTACTACCAGTCAATTCTAATCTTTACAAAATTTTGTGACATTTTACCTTTACTCTAGATTTTTTATTAGATGGCACATAATTAATTGCTTCTTCCAATCATTCAATTTTGTCCTCAACTCATATTGGGATCATTTGAAACCAACAACTAAACCTTGATAAAATATTCATTTTTGCTGTGGTGTTTCTTCCAATCTAGGAAAATTTCAACTTTCTCCATCTAATGCTGTCTACTTATTACACTTTTTCATTTTATACAAGCTTGAAAGGAAAATGAAGGCAAACTTTCTTTTCTACCTGAAGTCTTCCGAAGATTGCTTTACAAATTTAATAAATCACATATTCAATTCAATAAATCTTGACCCTTAAACGGACATTTTTCTCTGTGTTTCAAACTTTGATTTCTGCACTTTTACTTATTTTAGAAAAAACATATCCCACTCTTAATTGTGAAATAAATAGACTATTTTAAAAGCAGAACAGATATGCCATATTAAAAAAAGGAAATGTCCACATAGAGAATCTAAACAAACTTCCTGCAGTTAAATTTGCTACTTCTAGTTTTCTAAATCTTAGCCATAAAAAATGGAGTGAAATGAATTACCTGCAGTATAGACACTGTCTGAGAAAAATGATGCTGTTCCATGGTTGAAGTGGAATAAAGTGCTGCCAATGGATGATCAAATTTCTGAAGATAGCTGTTGCTATAACCCCTGTGATCCAAGTCATGGCATAAACAGGCAACGAGAAGACCCTTTCGCTAGAAAAATAAGTAGACAGGAAGTTAATCTTCAAGTCAAATTTATACCACTAGATGTCACTCTCTACTAGGCCAGACACTTTATGAATTCCATTAATACATAAAATACATGATTCAGAAATGAGTTTGCTGTACCTGGAATGATTGACGGTGCTAGAATTATGAATAATCAGTATTGATAAAAAATATGTTTAGGTTTTCTTATTATTCTTTTTTCCCCTAAAGATTATATTTTCTGATTTGGTACCATATTATTCTATTTTCTTTTTGTTTGTGAGCAACTGGAGACAGGATGACTTCAAAACCTACATAATAAATATCAATAATTCCCAGCCATTACCCTTAAGTGTTACATTCTGCCACTAAATATGTTGAGTTCATAAGAGATAGTTTATTCTATTTTATATTAAGATAAAAACTTTTAATAAAATATATTTTAAATTTTTTTAAAAAAATAGGAGGTAGTTTATTATACTCAGCCAGATCATCAGTTGCATCAGACAAAATAATATACAAGATAATGATTTAATTCATATAGCCCCCCCCCCATGTCACCAGAAGTAATTATGGGGACTGCACAATAATGAAATAAAACATGATGGTGATGATGACGATTCCCAATTCAGGAAGTTCTTGAAAACCCTCAAAATAATTCCCAGGTTAGCTACTGGGAGAAGTCATGGACTAACGATGTAATGTTCTGTTTATTTTGCAAGTACTCTAAAACTAAGGTCCAGACCTTCACCAGGTGTTTAAAGCTATATTTGTATCTTAGTTTAATAATACAAGGAACACATGACTATTTTCCCTGTCAGCATTTTATCCGTCATTGAACACCTGGATCTTCCCTTGAGCCAAGGGTCTGGAGGTTAAGTGAGCCTGTCACTAGGATTTCATGCATTTTATTACTGGAGTTGGCTTGTCTTTGGTCATTATTTCATCATGTTTATGTTTTAGCTTGGTTTTAATCCAATGTGCGCTGCTCCAATTTTGCAATTGTGAGAGCGCTGTAAAGGTAAAGGTAAACAATTGTTTAACCATGATAACTGGGACTAGAATTTCCATTCCTAAACAATGCAGTCGAAAAGCATCGCTTAGCAATGGCAATCCTGGCAGTCCCCATTTGCCATCATTAAGTGAGGATCACAGGCAGCTGCCAGTTTGCACCGGTTCACGTGAACAGGTAGTTAAGATTCTGCACAGTTTGGCGAATCAGCAAATTCCACCATTGGCTGGCGCTGCCCCCACTCATTTTGGGGGCTGTTTTCTGGGCCATTTTGCCCCCCAAAACAGCCCAGAAAACGGCCTTAAAACAGCAAAAAAATGGCCTGAAAACAGCAAAAAAATGCCCCCAAAACAGGCTGAAAAAAGGGTGCGGGTGAAGCTAGCCAGTGGGATTAGCCCTAACCAGGTGACTCCTACCTCTGCCTTTCAATCGAGTGGCTAGGAGGCAGGGCTGGGTGTGATATATGACATCACTCACCCAGTCACATGATCAACCAGTCATGCCTACCCAGCCAGAGAACCAGTTGTTAAGTTATTCAAGTCCCACCACTGATTACAGGTCATTAAGTGAGAACCTCCTCACAACTCCTCCTGGCTTGGGGTAGACCTCCAGAGGGTCTTCAGAGCCTGGCGGGGGGAGTTTTTACCCTCCCAAAGGCTTGAGGGAAGCCTCCAGAGCCTGAAGAAGGTGAAAATGCCCCTCCCCCACTGCAGTGGAGGCTGACTAGGCCATGCCCACCACCAACAACAACAGGGCAGAGAACCTATTGCTGAAATTTTTGAAGCCCACCCCTGTGTTAACCTCAGTTCTCCATTTCAACAGCAACTATAAACTAAAGTTCATTGGATACTTTGAGGATTAGCACTGATATGCCAGAAAGGAATGAGCAAAAACTGCATGAATGCAGTTTCCTGTGCTCCATCTCAAATAACTGGCTGTTGCTGAGAACAAAAGATCTTCTAATGGGACAAGTGAAGTCCTGTAATATAATCTGCAATTCTACTCTGAGAACTGTGCTAATTCAGTGTAGTAATAAAACATAACATTTAATTATTATTATTTCTTCTGAAGGTAACTGAATTATTTCCTTTTCATTAAAGCCATTTAGTCGGTCTCTCGGGTGAATAAAATAGAGTAGCTGTCCAATGAAGCATATCCACAAATGTAAATATTGCAAAAACAAAGCATATTTCCAAAAACACAGAATATAGGAAAAACTCATAACATTTTGTCAAGGAGAAGAGACAGAGAATGATTATAAGAAAAAGTAGGCACAAGATTCTGACCTATGGCAAACAACCTGGTATCCTGAATAAATAATAAACAAAGTCTACTTTCACTTTGCACAAAGATTAGGGAGGAAAAAATATAATGAATTATGTCTAGGAAATATGATGTATAATATCCTTCATCAGATGCATGAAATTCTTAACAATATCTCCCACTACAAACACTCTTACATCCTTATCTATTTCATATAAGTTTCTCCCGGTGGATGAATACAGAAGTGCAGTTAATATTCTAAGATTGACATCTGAAACTAGGAGAGTTTATACTTCATATGATTTCCTCCATTTCCAAACTGTACTTCAAAACTGTTAGGGTATTTTCCATATTGTTTTGAAATATCATTAGAAACAAGGCCATACCCTGTCTTTCTTGGTTAATAGTCATACTTCATTAATACTGATGATGTTACCTAGTTTGGTAATGAAATGCCTGCAAGAAAGCCACCAAGCATAGAGAGCACCAGGGACCCCACAATTATATATCAGTCTTTTATAGAACTGAGTTCATTTTTAAAATTCAATTTTATAATTGTTACTCTTGTAAAAAAAAAAAAAGGTTGGTTTCAACTGTTAATCTTAATTTTGTGCTGTTATTCTTTATTATCCCAAGTCATTCTTTCTACACATTTCTTAATCATTTATCTATTTGAGTGTATATACTGTATATATGATATTTATTTGTTACAAAGATATCCAAACATCTGGACTCTTTTTTCTATTTCACTATAGCAATAGCATTTAGACTTATATACCACCCCATAATGTGTTACAGCACTCTATAAGTGGTTTACAGAGTCACCATATTGTTTCCAATGATCTGGGTCTTAATATTACTGACCTCAGAAGAATGGAAGACTGAGTCAACCTTGAGCCAGTCAGGATCGAATCCTGGCTGTGGGCAGAGCACTGCAATTCTAATCACTGCGCCACCACGGCTCAGTCTCATTTATATCTGAAATGTGTCAACATTTCTATAAAGCCCAGATGAAATGGGTTGCTTTGGAGTATTACAGTGTTACTCTGAAACAAAATAGACTAATCTGTAAAACAGATCTGGTTTATAAGGACAATTGTCTGACTTGGACAATTGTCACAGAAGAAAAAATGAAAGCCACACTGCCCCAAAAGCAAGTCTTGGTGGCAGATTGCCCTACATGAGGAAACATTGCCCTAAAAGGCCTTGATGGGTAAACTATTTCTGTTTATTTGCATAGTGGGGGGGAAAGCTGCACTCCAAGAGCAAAAAAAAAATTTTTGGGAGAAATTGTGATGGGGATTCTTCTACAGCAAGATTGTGTAAAAAGCAGATGTGGCCTGAAACAAAACTGTCCTGTTTTCAGAGTGGTTAATGCATCCCTTACTTCTGCTTTGTATTTGATATGGGATGGGGGGGGGGGATCTACACTTACTTCTAAGTCTGTGAAAGTCCTGTGGTTGTGCTGAAGAATAACATACATGCAATGTGCAACTGTGATGGCGTGTTTCCAGTTGTGATAGGGCACTCGACGGTAGTTCTTCTTTACAGACATCGTGAAACGACATAGTTTTTCCATATCAAAACTTGAAAGAAAAAAAAAGGAATCTGATAAAGCATTCAGAAAGAAAAGAATAGTTCCAATCAAAATTCTATTTACTTCATTAAAAATATATTTCAGTATAACTTTACAAAAAAATGATTTTTAATGGATTTATTTTCTCAGCAGTTGAACCAATTAAGTTCCATTGTATTGCAAGCACAAGGCAAGAAGTTATACTGAAAGAAGTAGAGGCATATTCAAGCATAAATTCAGAAGTTTCCACCAAAACCACAGTAATAAATATACAGATAAATTTTCTTGTATTCTTCATTTGGCTGAAAACAATTATGGCAGATTTCTCTTAAAATGCCACTATTTATAGCAAAGATTAGGCCATGCTGAGTAATGCCTAACTAGCAAGCAAATCATAAGGAGACATTGGAAGCTATATTTAAAAAAAGGCAAGGAAATAAACTTGCACCTCCGTTATTTTGTTTGTCTAATGATAATAGGCTGGTTGTTATACCTTTGTAGGAGATGGACCAGTGAAAGACAACGGAAGTTTTGAGAACGTATGCTTTACTTTGCCATCTGTATCTACTAGAAATGTTCCTGTGTATGCTTGCTCTAGTTTTCCAAAGAAGCAAACATATACTTTTTACTGGCAAATAATTTCAGTGCACATGTGTGAGAGATGTGGAAATAAAGACAAACCAGTTTTTTTTCTTGTTACACGAAATAATATTTTGCACATGCCACTGAAATATTTTGAGAATGGAGCAGCAGAACTGCATGCCCATGTCAGAGTCCCACAGAGCTTTCAATTATAACCCTGGAATTTGAACCCTGGAAAAGAAAGTAACTCCAAGTAATAATGCTAGATTGAGCCCTACTTTTCAAGAATTTGGTTCCTACAGCCAATCTTATTTTCACATCCCCCCCACACCCAGCCACCCACAGACACATGTATACACACATACTGTATCTCTTCAAAGTTGTGTCCAGGCTAAAAGCTCTAATTACCCTTCCTCCATAATATCAGATTCCATATAAAGGCTCAATGCTGACATCATAGCACTGCCATCTTCTCTCTTGTTAGCCTTTCGACTTCTGTTCATCCTGCATGTGCAAAATGGGGCAGACTTACATCGCAGGAAAGAGAACTGCCTTGCCACTATGCTTATAATTCAAACTAAGAATTAAACTGTTGAACACACTTTAAAAATCAAAGCTAAAACTATGTTTGGTTAATCTTTTCAAATAATTTTAAGTGTGTGGTAATGTTACTGCTATTTATATAGCTAATGCCTCAATTAAATGCATTTAGACAACTTCTGATGTCACTGGAATTTATTTCCAAGGATTCATTTCTTACAATAACTAACAGAGGTTACTTTAATGTTCAATTAAATCAAAGCTTAAATTTTTAACCAAATCAGAGTAAGCAAAAATTAGAATTATACCTTTGAATCTATAGCCCTTTGGTCAAATTATAGGTCTTTCTGACAGTAAAAGTCACATTGTTTTTAAAAATGTATACTGATTTAAAGTACAGAAAATTAAAGTGCAGAAACTAAATGCCTGCATTAAAAAAAGCAAAATTCCCACATAAATGTTATTAAATATTTACATAAATGTATTCAAGGAGAAAGTGAGCTTTTACTATGGATATATAGGCTAAAAATAATCCTCTGAGTATCTGTCTTTTCAAAAGGGGTTATTTATCAATTCATTCTAATATGGTATATTGAAAAAACATCTGAATATTTTCAATGAAGTTAATTTCTTTGAAGACATTCATAAGTAGAGCCCTGCGGCTTGCCAAAATAAACAGGAAAAGGATTTCAAGTGTGTGATTATTTCCTGATAGACAGTTTTACTGATGGTAATAATTTCAAAAATTAGACGGATTGGGGTAGTATAATACCTCCTCTTCCAGTTCAGAAATTCATAGACCATCGCTAAAGCTTTCAAAATCAGGGGACTTCAATGGGGGATCCCAGCTTTCTCAAAACAAGATGTGAATTAATCATTTCATCAGTTCTTATATAAGTATAGGTTTCCTAAAAGTTTCTACAGAAAACTTTTTTTTAAAAAAAACTAACTGCATGATCAAGTGATACAGATCAGAATTCTATTTCAAATATTGTTTGTTCTTGGATAGCAAATTAGGGGGTGAAAGTTTGTGTAATGTGGCTACAGGAACAAATCTGGGCTACAGAAGAATCCTTTTCTCTCTGCATCTCCGTATATTTGGTAAACTACTGTAGTTGGTTCTTAACATTTCTTTTAAAGTCCCATACGTATGTATAATAGGTTCCTGCCCTATTGAGACATTAATTCTCAATATCCTCAGTTTAATTAAAAATGCTAATGCAAAAACATTTCTACTTGCAGAAATAATTTAATCTATGCAACCTATTTATAGATTCTGTCCCAATGGGCTCTATTTAGACAGAAACCCTTGATAATTACATGCCTCTCAGAGACTACATCAGGTTTCTGTCAGGTAAAGTAAGATTTATGCAAAAAAATCGCCCCTTATATTTTTCTGATTATAAGCACTGAAGAGATATTAATAGAAGTTTATATGTGTATAGCCATACTATCAAAAAAAAATATGGGGGAGCTGAAGACCCTTTAAAATAACTCTCTCAATCAAAAGCTCTGCAGGGCTCTGAAGCACACATGGAGATCTGCACAAGCTGGAATTGTTCCATTCACTTCATTTCTCCTGATACTGAATAAATGGAGCAGTTCTTGCTCATACTAGAGATATGAAAGTCTGGGGGAAAACATGGAGGGGTGGGGAGGGCAGAATATTATTGACTTCTTTTTTTCCCCATTTTCCTATTTTAAAAAAATGGAAATTTGGAGATTTTTTTTACAAATATTTTCAATATAAAAGCCCATTTTAAGGCAATATTTTAGCATTTTGTTTTAAATTTGATTATTCCTTTAAAGGGCCTTTGAAATTTAAGTCACTATTTAAGAATATCTAGTATTTATTAATAAAGATTGCATATATGTGAATGTGTAATTAATATATATGATAGGTAGGTAGAGGTAGAGATGATAGAGATAGAGACAGATATAGATATATAGATATAGATACAATCTCCTTCAGGCTCTGCTATTTCTCCAGCTTCTCATACTCCTTCCTGTAGTTGCTGTTACTTGGCACAATTACCTCAATCAATATCATTATCCCCTGGTCTTTATCTACTACTAAAATGTCTGATTGATTAGCCTATCCCTCTGCCTGTCCCTCTGAATCTGTCAAGTTCCACAGAATCTTAGTCCTATTATTCTCCATGACTTTTTGTGGAATCTCCCATCAGGATTTCGGAGGGTCTAGCCTCACTGACACACTGTGCAGATGTTCCTGTGCACAATGCTGGCTACTTTATTGTGTCATTTAATATGTATTCATCTTACACCCTACCACTATTCACTGCATTGTTGCTGAGGCCTCTCTGTAAAGTCTACACCTTAGGTCAGGGGTGTCAAACCCGATTGCATCGTGGCCGTATCGTGACATATCAGGATTGTTTTTGTACTTGCAGAGTTGGGATGGGTGTGACCTATGCGGGCCATATCCGGCCCATGGGCCACATATTTGACAACCCTGCCTTAGGCCCTACCCAGTATGAAAAACACCTGCTTTATGATTCTGGGGCTTAGTGCCTTTTTTTGTGCTGTTATAACTGGTGCTTCAATGCTGTCTTGAACTAAGTTCCAGTGTTGTCTTCTATGGTCCCACTAAGTTCTTGAGGAAGGTTCTTAGTATCCTATTGATTTTGCATAGTATATGGCATAGTATGTGTGGCATTGAATCATGGACTTTCTTGTAGTGAATTCAAACTGTGCTTAGATTAGTCTATGTAGATCTTGAGTATTGAGCAACTGTTCTATCTATGAGCTATTGGTGTTCTTCACCAATGTGTGATACAGGTCACATGTTTAGTAGTTGGATTTGAAGCAGGAAAAATTCTTTGGATCTGATGTGGGCACATGATCAGCAACACATGATACCAATACAGTAACAGAGATCCAGCACTGGGTCAAGAACATAAAGGTTCTCACCTGAACTGGCTAACAAAAGGAAGGACAGTATTGAGCATAACCCCCGCTCCCCAAATAAAGAGCACAGTTCAACCGCAAGCCAATAAGCAGCATCTCCATAACATGGAAAGTCCTATCAAGCATCCTAACTGACAAGCTACAGATCCCTATGAACCAATATGTGAGCACAGCTCATAGGATGGAGAGTTACCATGTGGAACCAAGAAAATATGGTTGTTTTTTTTTAAAGATGCCACTGACAAGTACTGTGAATGTGTACACACCAGATCCAATGTACCTTTCTCTCCTGGGATCAGAATGCCTGCACATCATGCTTACCAGAGATGGGGTAGGCATGAAGTAGAAATGGAAGCACAGATCAACCATAGGCAACATCTGATTTGTTTGGGAAATCCAGGTAAGAAAATTATACGTAAAACAATATCTTGGCTAAGGTGAACACCTGCAGGTTATTACATACAATTCTACTTTATCTTTTTGGGGAGAAAAAGATCACTTTATAATAAGCTATAATGATCATTAAAAACATTTATAATAAAAAGATAAAGTCAAAGCAGAAAGAATTGGCTCCACAGCGAATATGCTAGCATCCAAACCGAACAGAATCTCTGATCAAAAATATGGTGTTTTCTTTTATTTTTCTTTGCTTTGTTTTTTCTTTAATTTTATATAGTTTTTACTTTGTAAAATACCTCTTTAATAAAAATAATTAAAAAAAAGAAATATGTTAGTCTGCATTCAAAATGAAGTTTTGAATTTAAAAAATGTTGTTTTCAATTCTATTTGAATTTGAAAATGTTGTTTTCAATTCTAAGAACACATTCCTCATTCAAGACTGGGAAGCTTCATTGATATAGCAATGGAACTCAAAAGGAACTGGTAAACCACAGTAAATCCTATGGACATGCATTGTGTGAAAACATCTCTCTGGGCATATGAAAACAGAGCTCAGCTCTAGGATGTCATGGATATCTGTGTAGGAATAGGACATCTGGAAATGTTATGTACAGAAATAGTGAAGAAGAACCAGCTGTAAACTTATGTTTTCAGAAGAGTTTTTGACCCAGGAAGTGCCTTCATTAATTGAAGAGAAAGGGAATATAGTAATTTCAGCTGGTTTCTTCTTTCTCCATTGACCCCTGTGCTACATTAGAATCTGCTTCAACAGATTGGGAGAACATTCAGATCATCATGGAATAAAGACAATTGGGGATCTGAATGGAGAAGGTCTAATCTATGAAAAACGCTTTCGTTCTACTAACAACGATATCTACCAGGTTGAAAATGCTTCTGCAAGAAGAAAGTCAATTTTTAATTCATGAAAAGATATCACTTCATACGCCCACTGCTTTGGGCTATAGAAATATGTATCTTTAAATGTCAGATACAATAAAATGATGGTTTAATGTGCTAATATAGACATAATGCATTTCATTTCTTAGAGAAATAAACTTAGAATATAATTAATAGATCTTCAAAGATTTCTGTTTTTCTCCAAATCATCAGGGGAATGTAACTTTTCTCTGCAACCTCTTCAAACACTTTAGAAGCATTTTTTCACCTCTAGTTCAGAAATCCATCCATGTGTGTATCAGAGTTCCCATACATGATCTTGAACTGCTGAATCATCTCTAATGTGTTTAAATGTAGAACATTTAGGGTAAAGTTGATTGCATGCTTTGCAACCTATTAATTGGCTCTTATGTATATAAAATCACTATGACAAGTTATTTTTATAGTGACATTTCAGTGCTGCAGCTTTACTGCTCTGCCTATAAATACCCAATACTTTGAACATACACAGCATCTATTGGGAAAATCAAGCATGAGCCCAACCCTATCACTAAGAGTCCAACTGGATATCTCTGAATTTGTAAGTGCATTTTTTCTGACCTTGACGTTTGTCTTTATTTTTCCAACTTTGAGAAAAATAGAGAAAAGATAGTTTCCTCCACTTTCAATATAACGTATCATTGAGAACCTCAGCAGTAGAACTGTTTTCCTTTTTTCAAAAGGCCCTAGTTTTATTATTATTAGCCTCTAGAGCCCATAGGCTACTTTTCTCACTCATGTTTGTCAATCCAAAGAAGTGTCTCCTTGTTAAACTTAATTATTCTTCATCCATCTTCTGGATGACAGAATTCTGACCATAAACCTTCCAGTTGCCAATGTCGGTAGCACAATGGGACACACAAGAACAGAGACACTCTGCAGCCCCAGGGGGGAAGTTAATCAAAACTTCCAACATATTTACATCCCAGTTGACTTTGCTACACTACCTGACTTTCCCAAAATTAAGTCTTTCAGAGGTTTTGAACCAGAGATTTCATCAGCCAAAAACACCATGGCCATCAGCTTGGCAATTAAAGACATGTGGTGATGGAATGCACAAGCAATGTAGTCCCCCCCCCCCAAAAAAAAAGTAATTCAAACTAATTTAATCCTTCAACTACACAAGAAGCTATACATAACTCAAGTCATCTTATCTAATATAATTTAGTCATTGCCTCTACATGAAAATAATTCTTAATTAAGTCACTCCTGTGAACTAAAAATGATACAAGATTTTTTCAGAACTGAAGATAACTGTTTTCTGAGAGAAAAACCGAATTCACTCTTTTATAGAATAGGAATGATAAAGTGCAACTGGAAAAATAATTTTCTGATCCCTTATGCCCAAATCAAATAACATTAGAACTCCAAAAGTTAATACAAATATTTCTATTAAAATATTTTAAAAGTGTAAGTTTAAAAAAGTGATCATACCAGCCTGCTCCACAACTTTGATGAATCATATAGATAAAAATTGCTGGCCAAAACTCTTCATAAGGACTAATGTCAAAATGGAATCTGTTAAAATAAGAAATATAAAATTAGGAGAAATAAAATTACTTGTATATTTGCGAAAAGTATAAATATACAAAGGTGGTTTCATTGATCAGAGTTTCTTCTTTTCAACATTAAAAAAGTCCCTTCTTTCAAGTAGAAATAATGAATATTTGATTCATACTGGCTTCTAACAGAAATATACCAAAATATGTTAACATCTCATGCATTAATGAATTTAGTTCTTTATAAAACAAAACAAAAATGGATTGCTAGAACTTAATGAATGAGACTATTTGTGTGGGAAAAGAAAATATTGGCATTTCAAAGAGGGGCCCTTCCATAGCATCTATCCCCAATTTCCCAAATAATTTATGTACTATTTTCATACTATGAATGGAAGGGATGAAGTCCACTTCCATCAGGCACATTATCAATGTGTTTTGGGTCCAATTAAATATATGTAAGTGCCCTGTTTATTGAAAGACTGATTCAAAAATAAAGCCTATTTAAACATATTTCTAAATTCTTTGGCTGAATAGAGAAGAATGTATTCTTTACAACACATAAAGAATTAAAGAACCATCTACTAAGTAAAGGTTCCCCTTGCACATATGTGCTAGTCGTTCCTGACTCTAAGGGCAGTAGTCATCTCCATTTAAAAGCCAAAGAGACAGTGGCGTCCAAAGGTGTCTCCTCATGTGGCCGGCATGACTAAATGCCAAAGGCACTGGAATGCTGTTACCTTCCCACCAAAGGTGGTTCCTATTTTTCTATTTGCATTTTTACATGCTTTCAAACTGCTAGGTTGGCAGAAGCTGGGACAAGAAGCTCACTCCATTACGTGGCGCTAAGGATTCGAACCGCTGAACTGCCAACCTTTCTAATCGACAAGCTCAGCATCTTAGCCACTAAGCCACCGTGTCCCTCTATCTACTACCCACAAGGAAAACTCATTATGGAGTATCCCAACAAAAAATTGTAAAGCAAGTTTTGAAAAACAAAAACAAAAACTGCATTAAAGTATGATGAATAAATATCAGAATTAAATCAGAATATTTAATTAGAATAAATTATGGTAATAATAATGAATAATTATAATAAATCATTATCTTGATTATAATGAATAATCAAGAAAACAATTATCAAGCAAGTTAATCCAGAGTTTTCAGTTAAAGTGCAAATACTTTTTTTCTTTGAAGAAGTCTTTTACGTGGGAAAGGTGGAAAGAAAAAGAAAATGAACTCAGTTACAGTAGTAATGTGCGCGTTGTCTGAAATCCAGAAGGACAAAGTTGGAGACAGATCATCCTGGACAATGTCTATCTAGATGGTCACTAAGGATTGACACTGACTTAATTATTCATAATCAATTATAATAAAATATATTTTTGATTATATCAAATGTGTACCATATTTAGGGACAACAAATAGTAAATATGTCATAAACAATGTAAAATGAAATAATATAATCCAAACATTCCACATTAAATTTTATCTTGCTATTGAGTTATATTTTGTAATCTCAATATCCATAACCTCACATTAAGGATCAGCACGATAGAGCTGCCAAGTGTGTGGATACTGTTTATCCCTGCATTGTTCTTGTGTACAGCAGATGTTCTATTCCCATTGCCTGAAATTAATAATAATACCCGGGTGTATTGGAAACATAATAATGTGCAGCAGAGATCTAAAATCAGCTGTTCTGTTTACACAAATGATTAACATACCACGGTTATTATGGAACCATGGGATACTTCCAGCATACCTGAGCATCTGCATATTTATCAGGACATACACTTGAGGCATTATCTGCCAATCATAACAATAATCAGCGAAGTACTTATCAACAGTTTCCTTGCCATTAATTTCCTAGTGAGATACAGACTTAAATGAAATTTCAATACTGAAAAAGAAGCTAGACAGATGAACCTGATATTTATAGAATATTTCAACCCATTTTAAATAATAATAGGACAATTGTGTGTCTGTGTTGTCTGTGTGTTCATGTGTGAGAAGGAATAGTCCTTAGGAAAAAATTTGAGGAAAGGATTAAATTGCCCCACAATGATCCAATCTCCTTCCCTAATTGATTGCAGCTATCTATTGCAAGACATCCACATTAAAATATTTGGGCCTTTAACAATAACATCTACTACATTCACAACATTTATCAAGGTTTACTTCAATATCAATAATATACTATAAAAACATACAGTTCAATCTCTCTGCAGAGTTGTGATGGCAGTTTACAATCCATTAGATTTTTCCACTCTTCTGCTGTACAAACACTGTGATATGAAAGCTTCTCCATTGTTACCCGATATATACATTCTGAATGGTGAATTCTGTGATACATCTGCAATAATGGTTTAATGAAAGTAATTTGTATTTTCCCCTTATTTGAACAAAATTCCTTAAGGGTTTCAAACTAAAAAAGTTATTCTTCTTAGTTACACCTATCCAAACATGCAATTACTGAAAAGCAATCAGACATAATTTAACAGAAAATAATTTGTTCTATTCTTTCTTCCCTTTCACAGCCTCCTGGGCTGCTTCATCATGACTAAATGATCCCAGGAGTATTTACCAAAAGTATATAATTCCAGCATGGTCAACCAAGGTGTTAAGATCTTTCCAGCTGCCCAATATAGGAAGATGTTGGAAGTGGATGATCACTTAATGAGAATTGCCAAGGGACCATTTCATACCACATAGGAAAAGGCATTGTAAACCACTCCATTATTATCCAAATAAAGTCACATGATTAGAAAATATAAAGTGACTGAAGATGTAGTGTTAGTAGATAGACCTCTCTGGTTGGATAATATTCAACTTGTTACTGAGAAAGAGCTGAGAATATTGCATGATTATGACATGGCTAGATTAAAGCATTTAGGAGCCTAGTACTTGATGTTACCATGAAGGAAAATAAAAACTGAAATTGTAAAGCAAATTTATAATGGATTCATGGAATGCAACAAGCATAAACAATGGAAAAGGTCAACACAGTGAAAGATTAAATGAATCAACAACTCCTTGACATACTGAAGTGGACATAAATTGGATCCATTCAGTCAGAAAATCATACTGTTCATCATTCAGTAGACAATATCAAAGAAGGAATGGCACTGCTTTTATAGTCAGGAAAGATGTAGCATAAAAAGGGCGTAGCATAGGAAGGACACATTAGGAATAATACTTGGCTATAATACAATCAATGACCAAATAATATTAATTAGACTTTTTAGGCAGTTAATATAATTATTATCCAAGTTTATGCTCCAACCACTAATGCAAAAGAAGAAAAGATTGACTTTTTTACAGTTAAAAGTCAATCTGAAGCCAATAGAATATGAAATGTGTTCTTTGTGATTGAAGACTGCAGCATCAAAGTTGGAAATATTGCAGAGAAAATTATGGCCTAGAAACATGAAATGAAGTAGGGTATGATTTACCAATTTCTGTTAATCCAATGATTTCTTAATTTCTAGTTGTAACAACATAGTCTTCCAGCAACCAAAACATTACCAGAATGGAGAACACAGAAATCAAATTGACTGTATTATTGGTACAAGGAGATGGGAGAGCTCAATTATTGCAAAGAAATGGCTAAGGGATGATTGTGGAACAGATTATGTGCAAAGTGCAAGCCAAACTAAAGCAGAGGAACAAAGCCAAACAGTTTTTGCAATATGATCTTGACTATCAACCCCCATTTGCACGAAGAAATCAGGAATTAGTGTGAAGTCCTGGATCTCATTTATAGGAATTTACTAATCAAAATGTTGCTAAAAACCAAGAAAGCTGAATGTCAGATCAAATGATGGAAATTGCAAAGAAGAAATCATAGCCAAGGAAGGCAAACATCTGAGAAAGGAACTTTACAAAGAGATTACAACATTAATTGATATACAAAAAGATGTAAATGTGCAGATAGTAACTAAAGAAGATCAGACAAAGATGAAAGGTGCATCCTGACATTAAGTTGAAATCCAAGAAAGTACTGAAGATATTCCCAAATTATAAGAATCTGTAAAACTAGAAGATAGCATTAGATCAGCATTTTGTCATTACCAGTCTGAATCGATACAATATTTGCAGAAATATGGCAAGACTAAAAGGAAAATCTGAAAACTTCTAACCAAAGTATATCAGTGAATCTGACCAGCAGATGGGAAGACATGAGTTTACTTAGGAGGTTTAACAGAGTGTGCGAAGTATCATAAAATATTATTAATTTTCCATGACTGTAAAATAATGCTTAGGATCATCATCCAATTCAGACTGCCTTTTAGGACCAACTATTAACAGTAAATGAAGTAATGGTTAAGAAAGAAATATGCTGTAGTCTATGCTGGAGGTTAAATATATTTGAAAAGTGGTTGCAGGAATTGGATGTGTCTAGTTTAATGAAAAGAAGGGCTTGGGGTGATAGCAATGTTGCAAAATCTAAGGGGCTGCTGCAAAGAAGAAGGGGTCAACTGATTCTCCAAAACTCCAGAAGGTAAGATGAGACAAAATGGATGGAAACTGATAAAGGAGAAAGGAAAATTTCCTGATAGTTAGAAGAATTAATAGTGGAATGACTTGCTTCCAGAAGTTGTGGGTTTCCAACACTAGAGATTTTTAAGAAGAGATTGGGCCCCTATTTGTCTGAAATAGTATAGGATATCCTGCTAGAGCAGAAGCTTGGACTAGAAGACCTCCAAAGTCCCTTCTGTAATTCTATTATTCTGTACAGATAGTCCTTGACTAACAACTTTGTTTTGTGACCATTAGAAATTACAACGCACTGAAAAAAGTGACATGACCATTTTTCACACTTACAATTGTTGCAACATTTCCAAGATCATGTGATAAAAATTGAGATGCTTGGCAATTGACTCATATTTATGACGATTGCAGTGTCCTGGGGTCATGTGGTCACCTTTTGCAATCTTCTGACAAAGTCAATGGGGAAGCTAGATTCATTTAACTGTGTTACTAACTTAACTGCAGTGATTCCCTCAACTGTGGCAAGAAAAGTCATAAAATGGGGCAAAACTCACTTAACAACTGTTTCACTTATCAACATAAATTTTGGGGTCAATTGTGTCGTAAGTCGAGGACTTTCTGTACACCCTTAGTAGGATAGTTATGAAGGCCTTGGAAAAGATATTAAGAGGCGGGAATGTCTTCATCTACAAAGATCAGAATTGGGCTTTTCCCTGTGACACTCTATGAAGTTGGACTTTGGAGAATGTAGGAGGCTTGCTGTTTTTGAACTTTGGTTTGGAGAAGACTCCTGAGAAAACTATGGATAATCAAAAATAGACAAACAAATGGGTAATTGAAAAAATCAACCCAGAGTTCCCACTTGAGGCACAAATAATCAAAATCCAATTATCATACTTTGTGTAGTTTATGTGAAAACCTAACTCCCCATAGAAGTCTATAATGGTTAAGAGATGGAAGGAAAGAGAAGAGAATGATAATCAGCAAGATGGAAGGACTCTATTAAAGCAATGATGGGTGCAGTGTTGGAAGACCTAAAGATTTGAGGTAAATCATCCTGAAAAAAAAAAGATTGATAACTAAGAGTCAACACTATCTCATTGGCACATCATCATTATCCTCATCAAAGAAATAAAATTGTTTAAATATTTTAAATCAAGAACTTAATACAAACAATTTCACAATATCAGAATCAGTTTAGTGCTTGTAATCACTCAATGTAATAATTAATAGTGGTCCATATATTATATTCAAAATAATATTATTTTGGTTCACCTTGTTATTTTTCTAGAACAAAACTTACATTAGCACAGTGTAATGCCAAAGCACAAAAGACCGCAAACATTTTAAAATTGTTCTCATCGGTTTTAGAAAAGGCACTTCCAGTTAGTTTGTTCACCATCTGCACAACACCTATGACACTTCCTCGACTCACAATAGGCATGCATAAAATGTTCCTTGTTGTATAGCCTGTGTAGAGATCTACCTCCCTAGAAAATAAAAAGGGAGGAAAGAATAAGAAAAGGAACCAGTCATTCATTTCATAGTAAGGCATTCATTTTATTATCAATAGTACTGAACATTTTTTAGTGAGTAATCCAATGTCCCCTTGGGAAGTCACATAGATGTGTATGTGCAGTCAACCTTCCTTCACAAAAGGAAGGTTGACCTTAGAGGCCAGCATAAATCTTTATCACCAGTTGCTACTCCAGTGGATCTAACACCCCACTCCTTACTTTTCACCATAATATCTCTTTTCAAAAGTCAGTTTCAAGGTTTATTGTCATTTGTATGCCGCCCACTCCCTAGGGACTCTGGGCATAGTAAAGGAGGCTGGCCCTGGTAGCAGTATTTTCTCAGTTGCAGGAAAATAAAGAGAATTGAAAAAAACATGTGAAGCAAACAAAAAAAAACACCATTTCATAACTCATGTTTGTTAGGATTCCTCTGTTCCTATTCAAACTACTTTATATACAGTATATCACAGAAGTGAGTACACTCCCTCACATTTTGTAAATATTTAAGTATATCTTTTCATGTGACAACACTGAAGAAGTGGCACTTGGCTACAATGTAAAGTAGTGAGTATACAGCTTATATAATTGTAAATGTGCTGTGCCCTGAAAATAATGCAACACATAGCCATTAATGTCTAAACTGCTGGCAACAAAAATGTGAGGAGGTGTACTCACTTCTTGATTTGTTAAAATACACACAACAATCTTGCAAAGTCAACAATATTGTTTCTGTACTTCAAACAGGGGTTAAAGTGGAGACAATATCTAAAGTCACTCTGACTTTATTACCAGCTTTGATTTGATCCAAAAATATTCTAATGTATACTTCACCACAGAAATTTTCCAATTAATAAATAATTCCAATAGTGTATGAGTTATACATATTAAGTTGTCTCTGGTGCTTAGGGATGCAGTTGACTTGAAGAAGTTTTTGGGAAAAATAATAATATAACTCATTAAGTCAAAGCAGAGGTGTAAATAAGTGGTTTATCCTAATGAGAAACTGCATTCTGTGCAATTTTATGAATCTATTAGACATGTAACATGCATATGACAAATTGACAAGCTTAAGCAGATATTAATTGTAGTATACCTCAAGATTTCAAAGCCTATGATATAACCATCTCATTAACTGTATATTTTGAATATGTTTTTCTTTTACAAATGTATGAGCTTTTTTTTAAAAAAACCAATTAATTAGCATTCATTCTCCTGATAAACAATACTTTAAAGGGACAATATAATTCCCATATTAATTCATAAAGAAAACAGTCTTCAGCAAACATATATCAGTTTTAATGCAAAATGATAAATATATTTTATTTTTAATTGGTAGCTGGAGATTATTTACATTAAAGGAAACAGCTGTTTCTTTTAAACAATCTATGTCTTAAAATGATATTTATGAACACTTCCTGTTCTTAGGTAAATATGCTCTCTAACTTTGACCAGGATTCCAATTTTATATCCAGTGTTGGAAAAAAGAAATTCTTACCTGGAAATGTTGCTCTTGTGGGAGGGCATTTAGTTCAGAAAAAGTCCAGCCTCTGATGCTGAATAGGCAAGGCTAGGAAGCATTTCCTAAGGAGGTAGGACTTCTTTAGCTCTCCAAGTTAATGCCAAGGTAGGAGATTATAATAGGCAAATCAACAAAAAAAATTTTTTTAAGTTGCTTGCTAAAATAGAAGAACTGACCACCTCGATCAATATTATCAATGGTTGGAGAAGATCAGAATTGTCTCACAGTGGGCAAAATGATTTCCTTCCTATGAAAAGAACTGAGGTTCAGTACATAAGAATTTCTTTTTCTCCCCTTATAGGCATGAGGACATTCACCTCAGGGATGTCAAAAAAAACCAACAAGATAATACAGCACATGTTTAATTACTTTCAAGATGTCTGAAGGAATAAGCCATGATTTCCTTTAGAAGTTGATGAAATATTGTGTATTCTAATTCCCAGAGAACTATGACTATGGTTTATTTGTTTTTCAGGGTTCCAGAGAAAAATGAGAATACTTTATTTAAAGGTTTTGTTTAGAGTTTGAGTCCCTTCTATATAGAATTCCTTTTTCGGAGTTGTTCTATGTAAAAGAAGACAAGACTACTGTTGATGAACTGATGGAAAACAAGTGGCAGATCACTGAAAAGTAAGTTTCTGTCAAGCTATGCATCACATTATTGACGTTCATCCGAGATCTGTATTATTGACTTTCTTCAATATGTAAAGGTTTCTGCAAACTGTGTTCTTCACATGTTGATGGAATAGATAAAAGCTTAAGAGTTGAAATTTGCCACCAATTGTCATCAGAATTTAGGTGAGGAATTTCTTCATAGCATTATGACAAGCTAACAAAACATTGTCTTATTGTTATGACTCAGAAATGAAGGATTGGTCCATGAAATATCATCACAAAGTTTCATTTTCAAAAATTCAAAACTCAGATTTGGTATGTAAAAATATATGGATATAGTTTTTGGGACATAGATGTGTTATTCACATAGATATTTTGAACCTGGCATTGCTATCAGTGCTACACTGCAATGCTCAAAACTTTGACACAATGATTAAGCACAGTTCAGAAGCATGAAGGGCATTTTGCTGCAGAATGATTAAGACTTGGTGTCTAGTTCTTAAGTCTCTAGAAATAACAGAATATTGATTTTGAAGAAAAATAATACAATAACCAGATAAAGAGGAATTCTGTGGAAAAAAACCTATGGCTTTTTTCTTTCTATTATTCCTTTAATGCCTGAGGTGGGGTAAAAAGAATGTTCTCCTGCCTTCTAGATCATTATCAAATGCTGCTCCATGTGTCTACAATCTCAATTGTTGCTATGAATGAACTCTTCATTAAATATTAAAGAAGGATTCTGTTCAAGAAATGCTTCCTCTGACACAAAAACACACATGATTTTTACTTGTGTGGGCCTCCAAACTGAAGGACAAGAGAAGATGAAATGCTTTGTAGGAACTTAAGTCTCTTGGCCAGTTGAATTCAAATCCAGCATTTCCCAACATTAGGGAGAGATGAAATGGCCAAATCAATAATGCTCCACAGCATGAAAAATGGAATGGAAATTATGGTGGTTAAACATGAATGTTAAAATGTTTCTCTCCACTTACTTTTATTTTTACTTCTGGTTTGTACGCATGTTCTTTCTTTTAAAATATTTCCCTCAGCTTCTTTCAAGAGCTCCAAACTTTCTTCTCTTGATTAAAGGAAGGAAAGCTCAGGGTGTCTAGAAATAAAGCTTGCTTCCAAATGTAGCCCTTGTTAGCCTTTTCCATCTAATCCTATAAATGGGACATTTTCAGAACTGAATGCGCTCACACTTATGAGGGGAGAAAGCTATAAACATTGCTATCAGACGGGGGGGGGGGGGGAAACCTAACTTCCAGTATGAAAAACAGAATTGTTAGTCCTGGTTTGAGCCACATTTCTTCTGGAAACTGGATACACTGGAAATAGTGGAAACATTCTTACCATAAATTTTTGTTCTGTATAGAAGACATTCCTTAACCTTGGGATGGCACTAGTACATTGGCTGGTTTAAAAAAAAAGTTTCTCTAAGATAAATGGCTGATTTGTTCTCCTAGAGCAAACATCCCTTTAGCCCCTGGCCTGAAACAGAACAAAACTACATATCTATGCCACAGAGTCCCAAAAGTGCTTTTCAAAAGACAACTGGATTGCCTTGGGTTTTTTTTTCTTGAAAACATTTCACTTCTCTTTTTTTTTTTTAAAAAAAAAACCTTTTTATTTTGTTTATGCAAACTTCACATCTTTGCAACACATTACACTTCTTTTACATATCTGTTGTGATTCTTTTATCTGTACAAATGAGTCTTTTATAACTATAACTATATATATATATATATATGTATATATATATATATATATGTGTGTGTGTGTGTGTGTGTGTGTGTGTGCATTTATATTATTTCATACATCTTTTTTCTTCATTCTATATATAACATTCTATATATTCTATATAACAACCTTTATTACATTTGAGTCATTTTGTATCCATTTCCTATTATTTATTTGCTACAGTCTATTTCATATTTATATCTTTTAATCATTTTCCAGTTTTGTAGTTGTTTATTAATTTGTTGATCTTTCTTCCTTTTTTGCTTTCCTGTTTTTTTCCCCCTTTCCTCTAGCCAATTATACCTTAAATCCCATATGGAGTAATATCGGATTCTTCTTTCTCTTTAAATTCTTCCGTGAGCCTATCCATCTCTGCAAATTCCAATATTTTTATTACATTTATTAACTAATTACTCACCAACAGAAGAAAATGTTTAAAAAAAAACATTTCACTTCTCATTCAAGAAATTTCTTTGCTTCTGAGAATGAGAACTAAAGAAGCTTCTTGGATGAGAAGCAAAATATTTTCAAAACCAAGAAGATCCACTTGCCTTTTGAAAAGCCCCATTGGGACAATCATGACCTGCATGATTGAGAATCTCCATAGACATTTATGCCATTGAGACTAACATATGTAAACATGAGCATGTCAGAGCATGTTTAACTTGACTTACCATCCCAAAACTAAGAAATGCCTCTGAGAGACAATTTATCTTACTTAAAGAACTAAAAAAATTAATGGCATAAAAATGCATCAAACATACCAAACGTGTGCTGAAAGCCAAATGAATTTCTCCTACCTGTTAAAACGTGGATCTGCATAGGCATCAGGTATGTTGAGGACTTCACCAGTTCTTGCTACCTGACCAGCTATTCCTTTTTCAATGGAAAATCTGCATAGATTTAAAGAGATGTGTCCTATTAAAGCAATATGCTGATATGAAACAGTAACACTTGTAACTGATAAATGTCATTCATCACTAGATAGTATCTCACCAGCTGGGACAAAAGGCAAAGTTAGAGCTATTTCCTAAGAGGTGAAGTATCCTATACACAAATTAATAAAGTCAAGAGCTAAGCAATAATATCATTAATATCTCACTGTAACAGGATCTGCTCCCAGAGTATTTTTATAGTAATGAAGATATTTTAAGAATACTGTTTTCCCTGAGTCAGGTGCCCTCATGAGTCACCTCATTCCTGAAAGATTTCCTGGAAAATATTCTGCACAATGTAATATCATTGATGTTATGCTAAATTTGTGACGCCTTGTGAAATGACCAAATACTCACATGGGAACCAATAGGTTTTTGTCCTTCCTGAAGTGATTCCACAGATTATATTTAGATTAAAAATCAGTATTTTGTTAAAATAGTAGGTAGGGATATCACTTTTGCCTAGACCCTGGAGTGGAAAGCCTTAAATAAGTCCCTAGGTTTCCTAAGAGGATTGACACGGTCAATGCACATTTTCCGTGTAGAATTTAAGGGGGGGGGGGTGTCTCAAAAATATAACATTAATTTGATCCCCCAGGAAAATACAAAGGGTTTGCTCTTAAACTGAACTGAGTCTTAAACAAGAGGAAATTCAAAAAGTAATACCAAGCTTTTCAAGAGAGACTTTGGAATAACTTAAATAAAATTTGGTGGAAGATGATGCCATGTTATGAAATTAAGGAAGCAGTTATGAAAAATGCATTGCTTATTCAGAGAATGGGAGAAATTGTTTTCTACACCACCAGTAACATTACAGTACACAATTGCCTTTTCAATCACACAGAACCAATCTCTCTTACCAAACAACTGTTTCCCATCTCCATCTAAATTCCTAAAGTCTCTGGAAATGCTTTAAATTTATTCGTTAAATTGACAGAACATAGAATCATAGGACTGGAAGGCACCTTAGACGTCTTCTAGTCCAATCCCTTGCTCAAGACAAGAAAGCTTATACCATCCCAGTCAAAACATTGCCCATTTTTGAAAAACTCCAATGATGGACTACCCACAATTCCGGGGGGGGGGGGACGACTATTTCAGTGATTAATTGTTTTCATTGTCAGAACATTTCTTGGTCAACCAATTGTGAATTCACTGGTGGTAGTACTATCTATCCCACCTTTTTTATCTTAGCAAGAAGTCTGATGTGGTCTACTTTGTCAAATTCCTTACTGAAATCCAAGTATACTGTGCCCATAGCATTTATCTGGTCTTTATCAAAGAAGGCAACATATTGTCTGATATGATCTGTTTTAATAAATCCATGCTGGCTTCTAGTAATCACCTTGTTCATTTCTAGGTGCTTACAAATCCTCCACTAACTTCAATGAGAACAAAATCATAAAATGATAAAAACTGTCACAGTATCTGTAAATACAGACGGAAGTTGAATTAAAGTATGAAACTTGTAAAAACAAACTCCTCCTCCTACCTTATTTCTTTGGTCTTCCTGAAGACAGGCTTCCCTTCATGTACTTCTCCAATATCAAACAAGTCTGAATACAACTCATTGTTCTTCTGATCTACCTGGAAGAGTGCACAGCGATCTGCATTCACCAGGTTTTTTGCATATATCTACAAAGAGCAAAGCTGGATTAACCAAAGTGAGTATGGGACAGGGCCAGAATTGTGTTATACTAATATACTAAGAGTAATTAACCTCAAAACATATACAATTTCTGTCTTGTTTATGGAGCTAGGTAGATGGTTATATACTGTAGACATGTTATCTGTGAGAGACCCACTATTAAACTATTTTCTCCAAGATCAGGCTTCACCAGTCTGCAATCATGGAAGATGAGGTTCTAAAGAAACCCAATTTTCACAAATATGGTACATAAAAACTTCAGAGGTTGTGAATTTTAATCTAACTAAAATGTTTGATGATTGATGATTCAAATGGCAAATGCAAACTATTTTTTCCTCATGATAATGTATTTGAATTAAAAGGATCTTTAAACAACATCTGTATATTTATATATAATACAGACTACAATACTGATAATCTTTTTGCCAAAAGCATGGTGCAGATAAAAACACATGTTTAGCTCCAATTAGATTTCTTTCCCAATAATGAAAAATGTATTTATATAATGAAAAAGCAAGCTGAAAGAAAGTAATTTATCACCGTATTTATATAATGTACTTAAGGAAATAGTCAAGCAAGTTCTAACATATAAAGTTACTATTAAGAGAATAAATAAAAGGTTCAGTTCAACATGTAACTTTGAGTCTCTACCATTTAAGCATTTAAAGATCTCTAGAGACACATTTCTATTGGTAGACTTTTAATTATTGAATTTAATACTAATTTTACATTACATATTGAAGTTTTGTATTTTGCTTCTTTTTAATATTGTCCCCTGCTGAGAGTTTATTTAAGTAAATGGAAGGATATAAATATTATAAACATTTAATAATCAAAAGCTCTTCTTCATGTTTTGTTAATTCTCCTTTTCTCCTAGGCCATATCTGTGAAGTTCTAAAGAGACCTCCAACTCACTAGAGTTTATCTGCTGATGGGACAAGGGTTTTACTAAGGAAATAAAGAATTTGCACAAAAACTTTTTTTCTGAGGCAGGAAGAATTCATGAACATATAGGGCTGCTCAAATAGCTACTGTTGGCAAGTATTTGTTGCTATAGAGTAAGTTATTCCAAAGTGTGTCAGATTCGTTTTGAAGCATATAAAATAATTTTAGGGACAAATGTTATTTTACTTTGAATCTCACCATGCTCTCGCTACCACTATTTATAGCACTGTCATCATTTTTTCAGGTCACATCAAAAGTTAGATATCAGATCCACAATCACATTGTTAAAAAGCCCCAAGCTGCTCTTCCCACCTTGAATTAGTTAAAACATTTTAAAGTTTTTATTATAAATATTCAAAACAGCTTGCAAAGGACATACATGTAAAAATCTAGTATTAATATATGAAAATAACATAGTGAAATTTTAGGAATTTGCCTGTGTTACTACTTGGGATTAACCTTTCAGATGGTTCTTACTGGTTTCAGAAAAATTCTAGAACCCAATACTAATCACCAAACCCTGGTTTGCATAGAATTGCAGCACTGTGGACTTTCACTGTGCCTGACAGCTATTGAGGTCTGGATTGGGGATAACAGGCTTTAGCTGAACCTTGGTACAATGCAGTGGCTATGGGTGCAGGGAACCTCAGGATCCAGTTGTTTATCATTTTCAGTTCTGGATGGGAATGCACTGGTTCTGAGGGTTCTCCTAAATCCATGACTTTTGCTCAAAGGGCAGGTGATGGTCATGGCTAGGAGGGCCTTAGTGCAATTTCATGTTGTGCACCAGTTGCACCTTAACTGGATCAGGAGGCTTTGCACACAGGCAGTCATGCCCTGGTCATCTTTCAGTTGAATTACTGTAGTGGGATCTATACCCTTTAAGAGTATTCTGTACCTACAGTTGGTGCAGAACACAATGGTGGGGACAATTCTGGAGGCTCCTAGAGTGGTGCACATAACATCACTGTTGTGCAAGCTGAATTCATTACCAGTCTGCTTTCATGTCCAATTCAAGGTGTTGGCCATTACCTTTAAAACATTTTAGAATGTGGGTACAGGGTATATGAGAAGCTAATTCACCTGAATTGGATTTGCCCATCCTATTTGATCCAGCAGAAAGGAATTGTAACAGACCTAATCTGTTAAGGAATTTCACTTGGTGGGACCAAGGAGAAGACCCTTTTCCACTATGACCCTTGCTTTACGGAACATTCTATCACCAGAGGTGAGATCTGAACCAACCTTCCTGACCTTCCAAAAGGGTTAGGGTTAATGGAGGCATTCTTTGTTGGGAGTGATTGTTGGGGTAAGAAGACGACTTCAACCCCATGCTGCTCATCCTCTTGGTTCTATTTTTAAAACAATTTTATTATTAAAGGCTCTTCTCCTACCTTTGCTCACCAGAATTCCTTAGCGGATGGGGTCCATAGCAGGCCACTTCCACTGGTGTGAGTGGGATGGACTAGTCCAATTGGGATGAGACGGTTCCTCAAATACCCTGGACTCATGCCATATAGGGCTTTAAAAGTAATGATCAACACAAACGGTAACCAACTAGATCCCACAACAGCAGTGTTATATATGCCACTCTAAGGGTTCCCACAACTGCCCATACTACTGTATCCTGCAAAACCTGTACATATGTTTTATATTGTTTGTTAAAAGTTTAAATTCTGAAATAATAATTACTGTATGAAGGAGAGATGTATTTAGGTCAGAAATAACCACATTTCAAAGATTCTGTGGCCTGAATGATACTAAAATTTAAGTAAAAGTTATCTTACCATTATATTTTCAAGTAGAGAATCTATTGCAACTATGTTATCAAAGTAGGTTCTGTAGAAGAAGAAAAAAACCAAATTTCTTATTGTAATGAAATTCTTTTTACACTTCAGCATGATCTAGTTCATTTTAAATTTACCAATTTAAAAGATATTTTTACCTATTTCAGAAAGCTTACATTATAAGTTTTCTTACTGAAATAATTTTATAGGTACTGGGTTCCAAAAGTTATGTCTAACAATGAAAGGAGTTATGAGTCTATAAGATTGGTACATCAAAGGCAACTACTAATCCCTATGAGTTTCCAGTGGGAATTTTGGATTTCTCCCAAGGATCAAAGTTCCATCACCTTGACAGCACTTGTCCAACTTTGAGAGCAATTTTATCAGCAGATGCCTAGAATATTCCTTATAGAGGTTATCTGGGTGATCCGGCTTGTGGGAATGTGGGAGACCGGGAAAGAGATGCTGCCTAGGGAACAATCAGATAAGAGGGAGTACAGTCCATAGCTGCATAGTTGACAGAACAAGAGGCTCAGGAGAGACCATCCCTAAATTATCAATTTATTTCCTAGTCAAGAAAATTGGGCAGGTTTTAAATCAGTATCTGATATAATTAATAACTGGATGCAGGAAAAAACATATTCTATAAAGGTGATGTTCAGATTTTTGTGTGCGTTTGCACATGTGCATGCATGGACCATTTCCTCTAATCCCTATCCTATACTTTTACAATTAATATTACAATATTTCCTCTGCATTATACTATTACAGTAACTATTACTATGCCCTATAGTATTGACTATGCAATTGACTATATATCAAAGTTTTCTTCTTACAAAACCTGTCCAGTCTTTTTTCTTCTCTCTGCAATCCTATCTATTTCTTTCCTCCCTCTGTTAATGGCCCATTTGTAGAAGACTTGAACCTTTTCTGCTTGTGTTTCAGCTTGCTGGGACTTTATACTTGATTCTTATCTGGACTGTCCATTTCCTCTGAAGGAAAAGCATCTTCTTTCTTTTGGCTGCTGCATCTTGCAATTTACTGGTGGCTGCAGAACTCCAAAGAGAAATGTGATATTGTGTCGCACCCTAACCCTCTATTCCCATCCTGTACTCTCCTCCCTCACCTGTGTCAAGGTTGCAACTTTATTGCAGACTGTATTATAAAATAGTATTTTAGTGGAGACTGCCTATTATAAAATAATGATCATATGGACCTGTTCCTAGTTATAATTTATGAGTATATAGGTGGTCCTCATTTAGTGACCATAATTAAGATGGGCAACTTGATCATTAACCAAAGCTATGGGAAACCATGGCCATGTTTATGACCTTATTTTAGTTTTATTTTGCTTTACAGGCATGCAAAGGTTGGAAATGTGGGGACTGGTTGCAAAATTACTTTTTCAACATCATCATAACTATAAACAATCACTATATGAGGCAGCCACTAAATGAGGACTACCGGTAATAACCTCTCATTATTCATATCGAACGAAACTGCACAACTGAACCAATTTTCAGAGCAATGAATAACCCACAATAAATATATCTATATTAATTATTTAAAAATATTCATAATATGACTGTAGAGACTCACTTTCAGGTCACTTACTTTGATACATCAAGCAGGAAGTCATTCAGTTCAGTCTGTTTGGCCAAACCCCTGGATACCTGATGCAAATGTAGGGAACACTATTGCTTATTTAAGCAGAAGAACAAAATCAGAATGAACCTACAAACATAGCTATTACCTGTCCAGAATTTGCTAAGAAGAAATAAAGCAAGGAAATACATATATAAAATTCAAGCTTCATATATGTCGTACTTTAATTTGAGGTTAATTGTTGACATATGTATGCTAATAACTCTAATCATACATTGAAAAATGGCACTGACCTTAAATAGCAATAACACTTAGACTTATAGCACTTAGACTTATATATTGCTTCATAGTGCTTTTATAGTCCCCTCTAAGCGGTTTACAAAGTCAGCATTTTGCCGTCAAACAATCTGGGTCCTCATTTTACTGACCTCTGAAGGATAGAAGGCTGAGTCGACCTTGAGCTGGTGAGATTTGAACTGCTGAACTCAGTGGTGGATTGCTAACCAGTTTACTACCGGTTAGCTCATGGTTGCGTGCATGCACACAACATTTCTGCGCATGCACAGAAGTGTCTGGGCTGGTGGCTGGAGCCACCCACCACTGCCACCACCAATTCGGCCAAACCGTGCCAAATCGGGAGCAACTCACCTCTGGCTGAACTGCAGCTACCAGTCAGCTGAAGTAGCCTGCAGTACTGCACTCTCACCACTCCGCCACCTCAGCTTTTTAAAACTACACCCTACCTTCTCTTTTCAGAAAAGTGGAGTGTTAGCTCAAAATGCAAACCCAGTCTGGACTGATCCCAAATTAGAAGGAATTATTAGAAATACACAAATGATTAAAAAAAGGCCTTCAGCTTAATGTCCATTTTTTGCAATATCCAAATATTACAGAACAAACTAATAATATTTTATATCCTTAGAATTAAGTTATTATTCTTAGGAAAATTAACATTTAATCCAGAGATTTACCTCTACTTGATGCATTGCTATTGAGACCCACGAAAGGTTTGCTACTGCAACCTGGAAGAAAACCACAAACTTTTGATTATTTGGAAGACAACGAAATTTGTCTTGTTTTGAAAATGCTAGCAACGTTTACCCATATTTGGGTTATGTAAAATAATGAAAGGTATGCATCTAGTAAAAAGGTTTATCAGTTTAAATGACATCTAGGTAATTGGGTTACATTATTTATGCTATTTATTTTTCCATTAAATTTTACATTTTTATTATCTATTTGATAAATACACTACTCAAGTTATCTAGCAGAAAATTAAAATAAGAACATGAATTAAAGCAATAATGTTAAAATATCATTATATAAAAGACTATAGAAGTATGCAAAACCTTTGGGAGTCATCTTGTCTGAAATATCCCCTACAAGAGGGATGGGCAGCTATGGCCCCTTTACAACTCATGGCTGACTCAGGAATTCTGGGAGTTGAAGTCCACAGATCGTAAAGAGACCATAGTTTCCCACTCCTGCCTTACCACCTTTCTGAAAGTGTTCTGATTCTCTTCTACTTATGTCAAAAATGTTCCAGATTCAAAACAGGCAATGCCTGTAGTAGGGTTGGAAATGTAAATGAAATGCTTTCATTGAATATAGTTGATTTCATTTAATACAATATAATAGCTGCTCCCACCCCCAGTCTTCATATCTTTGTGTAAAGATAGCAGTACTTAATCATAATGTCCATGGAGAGCTCAGGGAAACTGCCTCTAAAATGCCAAGTTAACCAAAGTCAAGAGTAAAAAATGATATGGAAACAAAAAGGAAAAAAACTTGGTTTAACCCTATCCTACTTTATTTGAAATGCAACTCAGATGCTACCACCACAATATCCCAAAAAAGATCTACGGTATTATCTATGCCTATAACTAGTTATGAGTCCAAGACACTCATCACCAAACTCTGACTATTTGGAATATTACAAATAAATGTTTTGCAATAGATTCTATGCAACCTTCCATTATTAATATGAGAAGTAGGATAGAAGGGAGTGAGATATTGGATAGAAGGAAGGGAGATACTGGATAAAGAAGTTCTCCCTAAGGAATCCCATCTTGTTCTGTGCCTTGCTACAATGTAGCTTGTATTATATACACCTATGTATCTGGCAAAGACATCTACAAGTAAAATGGCAAAGAGGATATAAACAGGATACTTAAAGTCAGTTTGGTGTAATGACTAAGAATTAGTTTTCATGATGGAATGTAGTCCAGATTCCCAGGAGGGAGAGAATACATTCTAGAGAAGCAAGAGACAACTCAGTTCATATAGTTGGTGTGTGAGAGAAAAGAGGTGAATACAGCTCCTCCCTAACTGTTCCCAGAGTATATTCATCACTTGCTTTGGTTTGGCAAGATTCTGTCCATAGATGTGCAACCATTAAAAAAAATCTGCTTCAAAGAGTCAAGTATCTTTCTTGCTTTTGTAGCCTGACATCAGGATAGAAACCAGGAAACCATGAGTTCTAGTCTTGCCTTAGGCATAAAGCTGGCTGGCAGACTTAGGGCTAGTTATTCTCTCTCAGCTCGACCCAATTCATAGGATTGTTGTTCTGAGGAAAATAGAAAGAGGTAGGAATATTAGGCATGTTTGTTGCCTTAAGTTCTTTACAAAAAAATAATGAAGGTAGGATTTAAAAAATCAAATAAATAAATAGAAGAAGGACAAAAGTGCAGTGCCCTGATATTATTAGTCTTGTGCTCCTTCTTCAGACTGAATCCAGAAGTGTACCAAATGTATCACTCCAATTCCCTTATGGAATATTGTGGGGCTGCCAGAGTCATCCTGTACAGAACACATAGTCCCAAAGTCTCTGCGCTGGGCATAAGAGGTTTCCTCTGGTTTTTTCATGTATTAAACATACACCTGACAGTGAAATGGGCAGTCATCCACTTCTAAAGAGAAAACAAGGTTGGCCATTGATAAAATCTGCCCAGAGGAAGAAATATAACCAAACAGAACAATGTTAACACTCATTGCCATGTGTAAGATTTTGCCACAAATCCTTATTTGAGGCAAGGAGACAACTGGATCTCAATTGGTGATGGTTCAAGTCAGCATCACTGGCATTATCTGACCCTTTGCTTCTATTTAATAACCTTGGCATGGCCATCAGGAAAACTGTTTCTTCTGATTGCAACACTGACACAACTGCTAAAGCCAATTAGAATGATTGTGCAAAAAGTGCTAAGGTCAATATCAACTGTGTGGCCAAATGAAGGATGTTTAAACTATTACCCTAGGCTCATCATGCCACTGTATAAAACTTTACTTCTCATCTAATGTATCTTGGTAGTCTCATTTAGCAATTGAATATCCTCAATATAATTTCCAGCCACAGAACTACATGTTAGCTGCATGGAATTATATATGAATATGCTCACTGCTACATTTAAGATTTACCTCTTGGTGACTGAGATGGAAAGTTTCATTACCCCATTTTCGATAAAGCTCCAGGATACCAATTAGATCTCCAAGTACGGTCACAATTGGCAAACAAAGTACAGACTTGATACGAGTCCCTGATTCCAGCCCAGTTCCTTTGGGAAACCGTTCATCCTGGAAAGGCAAGTGCTGTTTTATATTAATGATATAATATTTAGTTCATTTATAATGGAACAGTTTTATTAATAACTAGGATAGCTATATATTTAAGCAAAAATCCACGGATTCTCTCACAGAGATTCTGTCCAATGCTGAAAAGTAGAACTTAGAATAACTTTATTGTCACTTTAAATGTGCACTAATCGGCATACATTAAAATTAAATTTTGTTGCATACAGTTCTCCCAAGGGTCACCACTTCAAATGTACACTACATAAACATGATAACAAATAAAAAATATGCATGCAATCTAAATAATTATAATTATTATAATTTAATGTAAAAACATGTGATGCTAAATTGTGGCTTTAATGGCTTGATAAGATGCGTAGAGAAGTATATGGACCTTTCCTGTTCTATTATTTATCTATTAAATTAAATTATCTGCATTGAACAGTGATTTTTCTTCAGCACTTTTCTTATGCATAAATAAGAATGAGGAAAATTCTACGTTTATCTAAATTTGTATTTATTTATCACATTTTCTAAATCACCCTAAGTGACCATGTTTGCAATGGACTTGATTGGTTATAGTGAATTTATCTTCTTTCATAGTCTGACAGTAGCCCTTAGTTTTTACATCTATGTAATTTTATTTACTGAATGATACTCTTGAATATGCAGCATACATATTTATCAGATAATGCTTGCACTTTAGTCCCATGCTGATAAAACAGCAATTTGCTACCAAACTTTCAGTAAAGTTATGAAAAGGGGAGTTGCAGCATAAATGCAAAGGAAATGTTTCTGGAATTTAGGTACTGTAACTGATATTACTAAATTGTTTTTCTAAAACATCATATCTTGAAGGGAATAATTCTTGACCTGCAAATGTTTTGAATTCCTGACATCTCCATACAACTTAGAAAATACATTTCTTTATGAATCCCTGGCTGAGCATATACAACCATTGTATTTTTCTACTAGTGAGTTGCACCTAAGAAAAATTAAAGGCACAGAGATTGAGAATGCAAATGTAAACTGAGGAATTTAAATACAGGTAGCCATTGTTAAGTTATTGCATTATTTAGTGACCATTTGCAATTATGACAACGATGAAAAAGTAACTTTGTGATCAATTCTCACCTGTAAAACCTTCACAGCTCTGTAAAGCAAAGAAAAGCCTATATAGATCATAAGCACAGTTGCTGTTTCACTTAGAAACTGATTCACTAACAACTGAATTACCAGACCTAATTGCAGTTGTTAAATGAGGACTACTTGAATAGGCAAACTGAAATAGGTAAATTGATTCTGGGCATATTTAGAATTTTGAGAACATAATCTCACAAAATAGTTGCTGTGCTGGGATCACCCAAATTCTGCAGAAGAATTCAAGAAGCTTCTTCTGCAGAACTGGAGAAGCTTCTTGGCTGAGAAGCAAAACATCTTCAAGGAAAAACAAAGTCCAGTAGCCTTTTGAAAAAAACATCTTTGGGATGACTGACAATCTCCATAGACATTGTGCACAGATCAGTTTTTAGACATCCATTAGCCAAAAATTAATAATTCTAGTTTGAAGCCCTTGATTTTCTGAAGACATATTTAGAACCTTCATAGTAGACGTGTTTCTCCTCCCATTCTCAACATTCGCCTTCAAAAGTTTCTTTGAAAAGTTCCTTTCTACCAATACCAAAAGTCACTTCATCTGACTCCAATATTATTTTTAAGGAAGATAACTATTTACCCCCAAAATATCTTCTATTAACAGTGTTTTCTTAGATTTGGCTACATGAGCAGATATTGTGGTGCCGTATTTAACTGGTCCTACAGGAACAAGTACTGGTTGTCCATCCTTCACTCTTGGTGGTGTGAACATGCAAAGACTCTGAATAACAAAATGGGGGGGGGGGAGAAAGTCCAATTAAATTCTTTGCACAATAAATCATTAAACATACATGAAATCAAAATCTAACAGCTCACATTCAATGTTTGTGCTGCTAGAAATATGACAAAAATTATTGTTTTGTTTCAAGTAGATCTCATGCAGCCCGATCAACAATAACAGATTGCCTATGTGAGTCAATCCATTATTACATAGATTTCAATTCATAATTAATATTCTATGTGCCATAACAATCATCTGAAAGCTCACAGCTTGTACCTACCTCATCATCAAACTCATTACAATATCATTTGAATTTAAATATGAAACTATGGAGAAGATAGTAAAAAAGAACATAAAATATAAATAAGCTACACTGCATAGAATACATAGAAAATTAACAGCAGAAAAAAGATCCAGTCTGTCCTTTAAAGTTTTTAATTTTATTTTCTATTTATGTATTTATTTATTAAAAAAATTAATTTTTTTGGCAGATGATAGACAAGTGTTTATCCCAAGCATGTTTAAACTCAGTTGCTGATGGAAGTTGGTTCCAAGCTTTCACTACTCCTTCTACAAAGTAATACTTTCTAATTCCATTGCCATCTATCAGTTCCCTTCCCTGCACTAGGATGCCTTGTAGAATTCTGTACACTCAAAAAGAATTCCAGTTACCTCTGGGACAAATTGTCTCTATGACTTCTGCTTGACAATGTCACAGCAAATCACTATAACTTTGTGGGACCTTCTCAAATAATAGCATCTGCTCTTATGCAACTGCATGCCCTGAGATTCATCTGATCCTGATCTTTTAGAGCTTCCATAACTCCCTTTTTAGACCTCGTAATCCCTTAATTTTGGATAGAGTCAGGGTGACTGGATGGAGCTGAGCATTTACCAGCCAAATGCTCTTCCTGATGCCAAACAGAGTTCTCAGTAGATATTTTTTTTCTTTGCACCTTAGGAGAGAATCATCTGCTGTTACCTAGGCTTGAGTGGTCAATCTTCTGAGTGGGAGGCGAGCATCTTCAACACTAGGCCACCATGCCGCTTACTTTTAAACCTTCCATAATAAAAACTCTAGGATAGGAAAAATTGGCTTGCTCCACATTAGTAATCTAGTGGAAAATATGTTTGTACAGATAGTCCTAGACTTATGGGATCATACACAAAGCAGCTGCCACACTTGATTTTAAAAGATTTTTGCCTTGGCTGTTAAGTGAATCAGTATAATTATTAAGTGAATCATGCAGTTCTTAAGCAAATCCAGTGTCCCCCATTGGTTTTGCTTATAAGAGATTGATTGGGAACATCACAAGCAATGATCTCATGACCCCAGAACACTGTAACCATTGTAAATGGCACATACCATTTGCCAAGTGCCAAGATTTGGAAGATGTGATCATGGGGATGGTGCAATGGTAGTAAGTGCAACGACCAGTCATAACTCACTTTTTTTCCAGTGCCATTATAACTTCAAATAAATGCTAAACAAATGGTTGTAAGTCAAGGACTACCTGAACTCTTATTCTCTCCCCCCCTCCCCCTGTGTAGGCCAATGTATTCTTTAAGTGACTGTTCGTTTGGTGTTCATGTTTTTTACTTGGTATTTTGTAAACTACCTACTCTATAAACTACCAAACTACTTCGTGATTGAAGTGGCCCACAATCAACAAAGACAATAAAGAAATGAAATATGAAAGTGCATGTGTCTAAATGTCTTACAGTGCTCTTATAATTAAGAAGCCTGGCTTGTTGCTTGTTTATAATCACTTTGCCTGAATGATCTTGATTTTTACAAAGTTACAAAACACTGCAATAGTAGCAGTATTTTTTGAGTTACTAGCAGTGATAATTCTTTAAGCCTCATATGAAAGGAGGGGGAGGGGAAAATCTCAAATATTTATATTCATTTATATCATCACAGACATTGTAAATAAGATCTTTCGCTACAATATTGAGGATCAACACCTGAACACTAGCAAATATGCTTTGGGTGATTAATACTTGTGTCGATCAATTTCAAAGCCTCACTGTTGAGTATTCAATTAAGACCTGTAGGAAGATCAGTATTCATAATCTCTTATTCCCTTTATATCCTTCACTACTTCTCTCAGCATTTCATCTTGAGCAAACAAATCAAGCATGCAATTCAGATTTATATTATTTCTTTATCATGTATATGCACTGGTAGACTGACGAACCTAGTGTAAAAAACCCAGACTTTTTTCTAAGCAGATACTGAACAGTCGCTATTATGATTCAATTTTAACACATTTTTTCTGTACTTTTCCTTCTCATTTTCTACCATTCCAGTCTCATTACCTCCATTCATCATTGTCATCTAACTGAATAATATTTTTTCTGAATCATATTTATATTTATACATTTCTTCAGAATGTACATTTTCCCCAGAACTTATTTCTGATTTCTCCATTTCCTGAGCTTCAATATGCAACTACATACCAACCGATGGATTCCTACTTAACGAACCTACTCTAGGTTTTATTCCTACTTAATTCCATTCTACACTTATTCAGTCTACTAAATTCCATTCTACAAGCATTTATTCCATTTATAAATCAATTTTATGTTGTACAACTGAAGGCAGTTGTAAAGTACTGGCCTAATATTTGAAATAGGAAAAATAGATCTTGCTTGTAAGTCCTAATTATGAGTTTGGGTCACAGCCTAATGGCCAAGAGTAGTCTTCATGGTAGCATCACCCAATATGGAGTATTCTCTCAGAAAAGCATGCTGCCTCACTCCCTTTGTCACCAATACTCTTAGTTTAAGTAACAAAACATTTCAAAGATTCAAGTCTATGGGGATAAGTTAAACACATAAGCACAATTAATTCACAGTGTTTTATAATTTATGTAATTCTATATTTACTAGGCTTGTCTATAAGAATAATTGAAAAGAGGTTTCATTGCCAATGCATAAAAGTATTGAACAGAAGTAGGCTGACAGTTCCAAATAATTCAATATAAGTAAAATAGTTCTAGTGAAATGAAAAGTAATTAATCATGTCAGGAAAGTGATACTTTAATGCAGTATTGATTATGAATGAAGGCAAATATGTGTGCCAGAATGTGTGGTGAGAGAGAAGTTCCTGGAGGATGGGCTCTAGCACAACACCTAAATCAGAAAGCCAAACCTCTGGTCCTGGTAACCAACCTTGATAAGATCCTGCAATATTGACTACCATGAGATTATGTAGGGAAAGCCTAGCTGAACTTCTGAGGTGAAAAGTAGAAGTCTCCAACTTCTCTACCCAAAGTCCTCTGTGTCTACACAATAGGGATCTGCTTTAGGGAAACTGTTTGATACTTCCTCTACCTATCTTTGTCTTACTCCACATCTTCTCCCTGATTCTGATGTATGTGAGAGATACTCTCCCACTTTCTTCTCAAAGTCAAAGCTAGATTCTCTACAAAAATTGGGGGAGAAATGCATAATGCAACCTTCTGGTTATATAACATAGATCTATGTGACTGCAACATTCAGGTCCTCCTGGCCTTTGATAGAGAATAAACATCATCTCCTTTCCTTAATTTTGGCATACAACTTCTGCTTTTTCTAAAAGGTTCAGAACTTCTCTGTATCCAGCAAAAAGAAAGAGCTTATGGAAAAGCTGAATCTTTATATGACCCAACACATGTATCTCTTTTTCTCAAAAAGATGTAGATTGTATGCCTGAGATAAGAATGAACTACCCCCAGAGATCCGGACCTTGCCCACTCTCATGGCCTTCCGAAGAGCTGTTAAAACCTGGCTATTCCGGCAGGCCTGGGGCTGTTGACCTCATTTCTGAGGTCCAGCCCCAATCAGATTAGGTGTATGGGAGATGTTTTTTTTAAATTGTTCTTTTTATTTTTTATTAATTATCCTTCTAGTTTTGTAAGCCGCCCGAAGTCCTCCATGATTGGGCGGCCTATAAATAAATAAATAAATAATGTATGAGCCCAGCCTGATAGTCTATGTATTATCATGAATAAAACATCATAAGAGTTTAATATTAAGCTTGTATATTGGCAATATCTGTTAATAAGGCTTATGAGAAAGTTTGCACTGTACGTAAATGCTTATGTGTCTTGAAGTAAGAAACAGTGAATTTTAGTTCACCTAAAACAAATGATATGTTTAGCTGATACCAAGCAAGCTCTAGCAGACAAACAACAGATTCTAACTTGATCCAAAGATGATTTGCATCGACAAATTGGGTTCATTAAACCCAATCTCAAGGAATTTGGAACTTTCTCCCTCACATGGGAACCATCAAACAAAATTCTAAAGATGGCCTTGACTCTGTGAAGAGATTTTTTAGGGGTAAATGGGGGATCTATTTGAAAGAAGATGCCCAAAAGGAACGTTGGCCCTATGAAATTCCACTTAGTTCTTTTGATTTTATTCACCAGAAATATTAACAATCCCTGTTATTTGCAATTCTATCCTATAAATACTGAAAATCTCTAGGTGGCACTGTCTTGTGCAAAAAGTCAACTAATATTTACCCATGTATATACACAAAGCATGAAGATGTATTTGTGCTTCCTTATTATCTATTTCAGAATAAAGATCTTGTGTCAACTAAATACGAGGTATGGATTTATATAGTCTTCTTTCTTATTTTCAGCTTTTTTAAAGGAATATGAACACAATGACATTTGCCCATCTCTCTCAGAGAGGACTCTGGCTGGTATACAATAACGTTTAAAAGGAACAAAAGCAATAAAGACGATTAGGAGTTGTGGTGAATGATACAATCCATTCCTGCTAAATTTCCCCATCTTATGTGAATTAAAGGGTTAGTGGCCTCAATAATCCTTCTTGGTGGCTGCCCTCATAACTTGCCTTATTTCTTGGGATACCTCATCACCTTTAAGAAGGTATTAAGATGTCTGGGGTATCTGAATGCTATGAGTATAACATATGGGTGCTAATGGTGTTAGGACTTCCATATGATAAATATGTGTATATTTTTGACTATATGTTTCTGGTTTGACAGTGAAATATGGTAATGAAATAGATAGCATAGCTATTTTTGTTTCAATAAATTAAAAAAACTAAAAGACTGCTTTTTAAAGGATAGAATCCATCTCTATTGCTCCAGTGCAGAGGACAGAGAATTTGAGAAGAATTAAATTTAGAGGAAGGCAGATTTCAAGTAAATATTAAATACAACTTCAGAACAGCAACAACAGTTTGGCAACGGAGCCAATTACTCAGTCAAACAGAGGAGAGGTCTCCAACCTTGGCAATTTTAAGACTTGTGGACTTCAATTGCTGGCTGAGGAACTCTGGGAATTGAAGTCCACAAGTCTTAAAGTTGCCAAGACTGGAGACCCCTGAAACAGAGCATGTCCTTCCCGAGATACATTCCTGCAGAAGCTAAAAAAACAAAAACAAACATGAGATGGAGATACTTTAGTTGGATTCCTCATTGAGCAGGGAGTGATTTAGCCCAAGTCTTGCATAACAGAAGAGATAAAAGAGGCCACACTATTTGTTAGACTACAAACTATAACCTATCAGTACTGAATCTCAGTGCTTACAATGCATACGCTGCTTTTAGATCCAGGGCTAGAAGTAAGTTTCCAACAAGGTGCATCTGCAATAAAGATTGATTTAATATGACAATTTGGTAAATTTTAAAAAGAAATCATTGCAGAGGATGTTTGAAAAGTGTACAAAGAAGAAAACTGTTTCAATAGTTTGATTCATGAACTACATTTACGAAACTAAGTGGCCTAGAATAGTTATCCTCTGTGAAACTTCATGCAATACATTACACAAAACACCCTGGAAAGTTTATTTCTATAAATTACAGTTTTCCAAATTTATACTTACATTATTGCATTCTCCCAGGAAATACAGTGCAAATCCATCAGCCTTTGTAGCTGCCAAAACAATCATTTCAAAAAATTAAAAATGATGTATGTTCTATTTTGGAACAGAGGGCTTTCCTATTAGCACAAGTATATATTTTAAATATTAAGCCACTATGTAAAGCATTATACACAAAGAACTGAGTAACACAAAAAAAAAGAATCCTGCATTCATATATTCCATGAAATTTGAATATCAATATCAATATCAATGCTTAAATAAAATAAGTTGTTGATGGAATTACACAAAAAGTTTGTTAAAGAGAAACAGTTACTGTTATAAACAAAATAAATGTTCAAAGCTATGTAAGCTAAAATATTGACATATTTTACTAATTAAATAATTTATTCACTAAAACTGAAAAATACAAGTCATATATTCTGTACTACACAAAAGAGGTAGAGCAACTTAAGAAAAATGTTTTCCAATCAGATTTGTTGCTCCCAGACATGTTTACCCAATTACTTCCTGTTAATAACTTGCAGCTCATTTCCTGCTTTGAATTCCAGCTTCATTGGATCCAGAAGTCATTGCTACCTCATTAGTATAATCAATAATGAAATCTTAATTCTGATGTAATCGCTCAGGAAACAGACGCAGTGAATAAATGCACAACATCCATTTCTTAACAACAGTATCTAATAACCAATACTGCACTGAAATGTGTCTAAAATGGAAAGATAAGGGAAAATAGGAAATATTCATCTAAAACCATCTGATTCCTACATATAAAGGATAAATACAAACTAACTATTGATTATGTCAAAAATTAAATTTATATTTTCACAAATATACTTTTTTTCACTACAGTTTAATAAAACTGAATGCATTGAACTTTGTACACAATTCTTTGCCCCAATTCATTTATGTACTGTAATTATATAATTACACAAATTATATAAATTGATGCCAATAATTTAATATAACATAATATGTGGCATTTATTAAATGTCATCCCTGCACCAATCAGGCAAATTATCATTATTATGTGATTCTGTATGTAACTGAATCCTATTCCTCCAATTAGTCTATTAAATTGTATAGCAGCTTGTACCAAATTAAGAAAATAAAAATGATTTTATGATTATACAATATAATAAGATGCAGTATCTTTAATTCCTTTTAACTTTTTTATTCATTGAAATGATTCATAAACTTGTATGTCATCAATTCCATTCATCCCATGATGGCTTTAAGTATTAAAATCATTCTTGATTCATATAACACTATAAATAATAAAACATCCACAATAAATATAAAACATTACACAAGTAGTCCTCAACTTATGACCTTAATTGAGCCCAAAATTTATATTGCTAAGTGGAACATTTGTTAAGTGAGTCCCTATTTTATGATCTTTCTTGTTATAGTGCTATAGTTGTTAAGTTACTTAACATGGTTGTTAAGCGAATCTGAGTTTCCCATTGAATTTGCTTGTCACGAGATGGCAAATGGTGATCACATGACCCTGGGATACTACAGATGTCATAAAGATGAGTCCGTTGCCAAGTGTCTCAATTTGACCATAGGGAAGCTGCAATGGTCGTATGTGTGAAAACAGTCCTAAGTCACCTTTTTCAGTGCCACTGTAACTTTAAATAGTCACTAAATGAACTGATGTAGGTCGAGAACTACCTGTATTATTCTGAGAAAATGATTACCGATTAAAACATCCACAGTAACCAGTAAAGTTTGGCTCGGGGTCCTGGAGTGTTGTTTGAAGAAGGGCTTGAGTGCAGTGCTGGGATGGAGAAATTGCTCAAATGGAGGTGGCAAATCTGCTACAGAGGCACCAGAACCTAGGCAGAGTCTTTATGTCTAAATTGGTTAGGATAGATGTTGGTGAGGAGAAATGGTACAGGAGGACATGGTGATGGTGGTGGGCATAGGTAAATATAGCTGGAGACTGGGGAGAGTCATTCTCGAAGAAGGGAACTCCAATTTTATACCAGTACCACATTCAGGCCACCTGTTATTAACTCCAGGAACTGGTTTCCAAAGTTTAGTTGGATCTGTTTTCTAGCTGCTACTGCTTACCGTAATGCCAGGGTGATCTATAATAAAGCTCACCTCATCTACAATTTGTTAGTGGGTGAGACAGCTGACCTGGTTTGTATCCTGAATCTGGCATTAACCACAACGCCAGGGCAGAGATAGGTGTATGACTGTTTTTTTTTACTCATGAGCTCCTGATGGGCCTCCAAGGGCCCTGTCCCAGATATCACCAGCCAGGAGACCTCTTTGTGAGGCTGGGCCTTAGGGATCAGTGTGGATTGCTGCTGACTTACCTCCTCCCTGCAGTGTAGCTGCATCCCTGCCTGTGTTCCTGGATGCTGTATCTGAGTTCCCCAGGCTTAAACTGCCATCTCTGAGAGAGCAGGCTGAACCAGAGTAGGCCTCAAGCCTGAACCAAATTAGGGTCTCATGATATTACGCTTTAGCTG